AAGATGAGAAGACTTGATTCCTTGAGCCACAACTAACAAGTCATTGATGACCTTCCGTTGGCCATTAAAGATGGCATTGTGGTAACCTTCATCTTATAATTTTTTTGCGGGGATAAAATTTAAAGGAAAGTCTAGCATGCTTGACAACTTGAAGAACTAATGATAAACCATTATTACTCTTCAAATAAAATATGTTAACACCAAATGCCTTAACTTTACTGGTATTGCCTATCTTTAACACTCCGGGATCAACAAGAATATAAGATGAAAAGAAGTCTTTTCTTGGAGTGACATGTGAGGTAGCTGTAGAATTAGATCTAGAATCTACAACCCAACTCGTCTTTTGGAATGCCAAAGTGATAACATTTTTATCATAAGCAAAAAGGTCATCTCGAACAATAACAACAATATTGTTCTCATTATTTTTAAATTTCTTCCTTCTCTAGTGTCTTGCTTCAACTTATGGTAAAATCTTTTAGTATGTCATTTCATGCCACAATGGTTGTACAAATAATTTCGATGTTTGAAAATCGACTTGCTTATACTTTTACTTCTATACCTCGAACTTCGTAATTCTCTTTCCACCGGTCTAGTGTAATCAAAATATTTGTCTGTGAGGACGAACCCTAGAATTTTTTCCTTACTTCTTCATTCAACATACCACTTCTAACATTATTCCATGATCATCTTACCACTGGGAGCTGAATTTATAAACGCGAGGAGTTTGTCAAAAATGCGGTAGAGTATTAAGAAGCCACAGTCAATATATCATATCAGCAAAATTCTCTCTCAATCCAGACATGAAGTTATTCATATGATCAAAAATAAGACTGCCCTCATTATATTTAAAAGCCATCAATTATTTTAGTAGGAACAACTTGTTGTTTTCAATTTTTGAAGCATAAAGTGTCTCCAACTTTTCCCACAAGGATCTAATATGTATCTCATTTACATATGGTAGCGAACATTGTCTTCAACCCATTGTCTTATATATCCATACACTTGATGGTGCTCGAAATATCAATCTTCATCAGACATAGTTTATGACTTATGAGCTGCAAAAACGGGCAAATGCATTCTTCACATATAGCAAATCTTTCATCTTACTTTTTCATATATTATAAAAACATATCATCTTGCTCATATTCGCCTCCATCACGTAAAATCCCGGATAATAACTTGGTCCTACTATCGTTGATACGTCGAAAAGAGGCAAACTCAAAAATATTGAAAATAAAGAACACCAAATTTAATATATAAACTCTTTCAAATCGAAGATAAAAACCACAATATCACATAGATCCAAAAAGCTTCACTACAACAATAAAAAAGTTATCCAAATTAACTACAATAAGTGCCAAACACGATAATAATAGTAACTAGCGCAAAAATAAACTTATAGGTGGTTTATAATTCTTCATTTCATAAGTTAATTTTGGAATTGAACATACTTAGGCCGTTAAGCAGGTCTATGATGGAATGATAGCTGAGACAACCTTTCCTCTTTTTGAGCCAATGTCACTAGTAATCTTCACCTCATTAATTAATTCTTAGGGTTAAAGTTAGACGAAATTGTAATAATATTCGCCAATGTTTCTCATTGCTATTATGTGAAGCCCAGAGCAACAGCTACAAATGTAATTTTCCTTCATGTATTTCACAAAAAAAAAAAAAAAAAAAAAAAAAAAAAAAAGAATTCTTGAGATGCACGGAAATTGTTAAGACCAAGATTACACCGTTATGATATAATGGGTAGTAGCATGCCTTTGTTGATTTGACAAGCAAAGTTATGAGAAAACCATGCATGTTAATCTAATCATTTTCTTGCTTAAAAAAGTAACTTTACCGTTACTTGGGACAATCAATACTCAATCTCAACGGAGACAAATATCAAGAAAATTCACAAAAATATTGCAAACATTTTCTTTTATTTTATTTGTTTAGTTAGAAACCCCAAAAAATTGTTGCAATGGTACGTAACTTATCAATAGCAATACGTAGTAATATCGTAACCAAAAGGCACATTAAATTCGGGTTATTTCGTCAAAATCACGCAATCACTAGCAACTAGTTAACTAAGCTTTTGGAAAATCGATAGACTTTAATTTATTGAATAACTAAATCCATATTTTAACGTGTGTATATATAATATATTTTTCCACTAATTGTTAAAAAAGGAATTATATTCAGATATAGAATATACATATGCTCAAAATGTGCTAGCCATCGTAAGATAAAGCAAAAGACAGAATCTACTTTATTACGCACAGTTCTATTTGTTCTTAGATATTGATCGATTTTTTTCTAATTAATTTACTTTTTACTCAGATGTTATTCAATAATCTTTTCTTGAAATACATCCCAGAGCAAAAAATTTCAATATATTATTTTCTTTTATTTTAGAGTTTTCTAGTTTAGCGAAAAAGGTAATAATGATTCATCGTTCTGTTTTGAGAAATTCATTTAATAACAAAATTACATAAAGTATAAAAAATACGAATATTGCAGAGAGGAAATTATATGTATTCTCTTTATATCTCTATTATTTTTTCCTGCACAAAAAAGATTGAGCTCAATTAAAAAAAAATATAAATCTAAAAAAAGAAAGCACAGGAATATAAAAGTTCAACTACATGCAAAAGAAAGTGACCTATCTATAGTTATAGTATCTTTCATTTTAGGTGGGACAAATGGGGGTCCTTATGGATGCAAAGTTAATTTATAGATATTGACATCCACTTATAGTTTGAAAAAACACAAATGATTATAGTGGATAGCCTCTAAACCATGATATCTCTTGTCATTTTTAATCCCACACAATAGTGACATTGGCAAGAAATATATATGTTTATTTTAATACAAATATTTTTTGGTTTATTCATCAGTAAAAGTAGCCCTTGCGGCTCGTTTGGTACGAGGAATAGGAGATAATTAATCCCGGGATAAAATTGCGGTATAACTAATCCTAGAAAAATTAATCTCAGAATAATTAATTTTTGGATAACTTATTTTCAGAGGTTATTTGGTAGGATATATTACGAAAAATTATATATGTATTAGCTTTGGTGTTATGAATTCCTTGTTTGCTACTAGTATTTTTTAATCTATGTATAACTAATACTTGTATTAATTATACACTTTATTCGTTATTATTTTATACATAACAAACCATGGCATTAGCAATACCATAATCTTTAATACATAGATAAACATGTATAAAGACAGAACTGCATTTTCAAAACTTTTTCTACCTCCTTTTCAACGTTTTTCATAGGGTATGTCGGTAAACAAATATTTTTTTTTTACTTTATGCAATGCATGTTATTTTTAATATACCAAATCAAATAATCAATAAAAAATAATTCTAGTATAACTAATCCTAATATTACTAATATACCTTATTTAGTAGTATTCTTATACGCCCGACCAAATGATCCCTAAAGATATAACAATAGTTTAAAAGCTTTATTTATACAAGTGCACTTGTTATTATTGTGTCCCAACTTCTGAACACACATGTTATTTCAATTCTGTGTCTTGCAATATTTCACTAGAGAAAAAAAAAAGGAAAATTTAAATGTTAACCTGAACAAAAAGATGAGCAATAAATATACTTGTAGAAAGATGTATTTATACAATATATACGTCTAGTTTAAAAAAAAAACAAATAAATACATAACCTGTGCCTTAGCTTGACTTTCTTTTAGTACAATAAATTTCTTTCTCCAACCCTCGTGATTCACATACAATCCTTTCTGTAAAAGAGCCATTAATATTATCAGTTCATATGTGATGCAGTGTATATACTGCATATATACAGTATACTAACCAACTTCACTATTTTTATATACCGATCATATACCTTTTTTATATTATTATTTCACGGGTTCGAGTCGTGCCAGGAGCCACTAATGCTTAATTAGGATAAGATGTCTACGTTATACGCCTTGGGGTACGATCCTTCTCCCGACCCTGTACGAATGCGGAATATATTGTGCACCGGCCTGCCTGCCCCATCATTATCACCTAAATAATAATTACTTATAATTGCTCATAAAAAATAAAATTAATAAATGAAAAATAAAATAAGTTACCAACAGTAACATGCTAAAATATATTGATATTGTTAGAATTCTTTATAGTATTAGTATATTAGGAATCTATACCTTTTTTTTAAGGGTCCTCACCCCTCACTGCATCTTTGCTCGATTAGGTTGTTTTGATGCCACAATCACATGGTGCTGTATGCGAAAAGTTGGAAAACAAAAAGAAAAAGAATATTTATTCGAGAGAATGAAAGTGTGGATAGAATATAAAAGTTTGTTCCAACATATCTTTTCATTTACAAACAAAGTGATAATATTGTTTCTTTTGCTTTATATAATTGATATTCGAAAAATACTAGTCTATTAATTCCAATTCGTCCAGATCTCATGTCAAGAATGAAGAATTTTATTTATCCATCAATTAGTTTTGGTAGTTGTGATTATATTTGCGCCAAACCACCAGAGAGTATCATCGGATGAATATAATTTTCTTCACCTTTAATTAAATGCCTCAAATTAAAACCTTGAAAATATGGATTTTTTTTTTTAGCAAAAAACACTTTTCCCTTTCATAAGCTCTATGGATATTGAACTCAAGACTTCTAGTTAATGGTATATGAATTTCATTTATCCAATAACACTTTTTCGTAGTATTGATTATATTTGTAACACACAACGAAAAATGTCGTGGATGAATGTGATTTTTCGGTCGTTAACTATAGAAAGGTCCCTCAATTAATGAGCTTCATGTGACGTGCAAATCTTAATTAATCAGATTAGTGAATCAGAAACTCCTATGCATATAGAAAAAAGAAGACTTAATTTTTTTTATTGGCATTTGTTATTTCATATTACTTCTTTCTTTTTTTTAAAATAATTCTTAATTGCTCTTTTGACGGTCTAAGTTCTTCAAAGTTGTCAACACAAAACAATGATACCNCACTCCCCCACACACACTTCTTTAATCTCTCTCCTCTCCACCCCACGGCTCCTCTCTCGCCCCTTTTACTTCTTGTTTTCTTCCTCAATGGTTCGGTGGAAATGAAATTGGAACTTCCATAGCTAAAACTCACATTTGCCAAAATAACCTTTTTCTTTGCAAGAAAATAGCCAAATTTATATAATCACTATAACCATGAATGGCCACTTTCTTTTCTTGAATGGTTTAGTGTATTTACAGAGTGTTTCCAGCTTCAGATCTGTCTAACTCTTTGTGTTCAAGCTCCAGGCATGATTTTCTTACTCTTTTCCCAATTGGGTTCCTTTCTTTTTTGGATAGTAATCTCCATTTTCTGATTGAATTGGTCAAAAAGTTCACAAGAAAATGAGCTAAAAATTTGTGTAAAGGTGTGATTTTTACCTCATTGGGTTTGTGTAAATGTGTTTCTTTTATTGATTTCGTCTTCTTTTCAATTGGATTCTTCATTATTTTTTGCAACATTAATCTCCATTTTGTGAATGAATTTGCTAAAAAAATTATTACATGAAAATGTGCAATAATTTCACTTACCTTTTTTTAGTGACGTCAGCATGATTTTCTTCTACATTTTTTTTGTTGGCATTCATCTCCATTTTTGTGATTGGATTTGTGAAAAATAATACACAACACAATGTGGTGAAATTTCTGTAAAGATGTGATTTTTAACTCGTTGGGTTTCTATAAATGTATGTATTTTGCATCATACAGTTACTTCCTTGAACGAGTTTCCAAATTGAAGGAGACACAAAACCAATTAAAGGATCTCTTTTCTTTTTCCTTTTTAAGAAATGTGAGAATGTGTTCATTGCTTCTATTGAATGGCATTGTGCATTTATAAAATCTTGAAAATGAATATGTTCTTGAAGTTGAGAAATCATAGGAGTTTTTTTAATTTTTAATCAAGTGTTTGCTAGAGTTTTGGTTCTTGTTATCATTTAAAAGAGCAAACACAAATCTGGAAAGCTAATTGGTTTGACTTTTTTATCTTTGTTATGTTGCTCGGACTTTCCGAAAATGTCTCCGGGTGCGTGTAGGATCCTCCAAAAGTAGTGTATATTTGGAGGATTTTTGGAGGATCCGACACGGGTGCGACAGTATTTTGGAGAGTTCGCGCAGCATAACTTCTTTGGTTTTTCACTAAATTGCAGATCTCATCAAGTTTTAGCTACATTTGCAACTTTCTTTTGAACCTTCCCCAGACCCCGCGCATAGCGGGAGCTTAGTGCACTGGGCTGCCCTTTTAGAAGGGGAGTTTTGGCTCAACCGGTAAAGTTGCTACCATGTGACCAGGAGGTCACGGGTTTGAGCGGTGGAAACTGCCTCCTGCAGAAATGTAGAGTAAGGCTGCGTAATATAGACCCTTGTGGTCCGCCCTTTCCCGCACCCGCGCATAGCGGGAGCTTAGTGTACTGGGCTGCCCTTTTTTTTTGAATCTGTTGTGTGTGTGTATAGTACATCGAGTTGAACTGAATGACTGTTCATACTCAGATAGATGAATGGGTAATATACCCTACAAGAAGAATCTAAAAGAAAAATGCTCTTCTTCTCTTTGCTCTTTATTCTGATTCTTGAGCAGTATTAAGATAAATGAAGTTCAATGCCATTGATTTGAGAAAAAGAGACCATCTGGAAACTTTGTTTCTTCAGTCCTATAATCTGTGAGCTTACTCAAATTACTGATAATAATTGGTTATTTGACTAAAGCTGTTTCTATGCAAATTAATTGATTTGCACATGGACTGACCAATTATTGTTCAACAGGAGCTATTATAAATAAAGTTGTAGATCCAAGCATTTTTCTTGTGCGCGCAATATGGATGGTGTGGATGATAGGAGAATGGGTTGTATGGCTGGATTTCTTCAGATCTTTGACCGTAATCACATTTTAGCTGGGAAGAGACTTTATGCAACCAAACGCTTGCCACATTTCACGGTAGAAATTTCTTAGATTATTCATTTTTGTGTTTGGATGTCGGCATTGCTTATAATGGTTGATGATTAGAGGGCGTTTCTTTGAATTTTCAGGTTGTTGATGATGCGTCAGAACCCGATAAATTTGTTACATCGCCGGCAGTTTCAAAGGAGCTCGGGAAACCACATCCTGCTAGACCTGGAGAAACGCCAAGTCCAGACCGATCCAAGCAGCCGGCAGCAGAGGTCAGCCCGGTCGAGCCAGCTGTTTCTGTCCCCGTAGAGACACCGCCAAAATCACCACTCCCTCTTCCTATATTTGAAGTGAAAGATGGGACGAGGTCTTCGTGGAAGTTTTGCAAAGAAGCTCCGAGGCTCTCTCTGGACAGCAGAGCTGTTGTTGATGCTAAAGGAAGTCTTCGGCCGAGGGAGCTACGAACGAAGTCTTCAACTCTATCAGCAAATAGAGGTGAGAACACAGAGGATGGAGCTGACGGTGACGACAATCAGCGTCCTTGCCCGAGTGTCATTGCACGGCTAATGGGCCTTGAACCATTACCCCAATCAAGCCCAGAAGCTCTGCCGCAAGCAGAGCTGCGAAGATCTGCATCAGAATCCAGAGTCTCAAGAGACTTGTTTAATGGCCGTTTTGTGGAAGGAAACCATGTGGATTTGAAAGAGCTAAACCATCCTCGATCTAACATATCAAACAATGCAATGAAAGACAATGCAGCGAACGAACGTAGAAGCTCAATGTCAAATGCCAGACCTATGGATCGGATGGGATATCCTCTGAAGAACGAGAAGATTGAAAGGCCAAAGGCTTCGAACAGAAGTTTAAATTCATCACCGTGGAAGTCACCTCAACACAGAAAATGTTTCTTTGATACAGCAGACATTTTTCCAGAGCCAAAGCAGACAGTCTCACTCTATGGTGAGATAGACAAGAGATTGAAGATGAGAGGCATTGACGAGCCTTCTAAAGATCTTGAGACCTTGAAGCAAATCCTTGAGGCTTTGCAACTCAAAGGGCTCCTACATACCAAAAGACCATCGGAGCAGATCGGCCACCGGAATTTTGTATACGACCCAACTTACTCATCTGATGAGTCCCCAATAGTCCTTATGAGGCCTTCGAGATCAGTTTCACCAAGCCAGAGAAGAATGGCAAATGTTACACCCCCGTCAAATATGAGAAGCCGAAATGTCATTGGTCGGAGACCCAATCTCTCCAGTGAAAGTCTTCCATCGGTGAGCCCATATCGGGAACGACCTGCTTCTGAACGAAATGCTCGGAGTCCACTAAGAGCTAGAGATTCCGGCTCGCCAACCCAGAGAGAAAACAGTGTGAGGCTTTCTAACTCTGTGGCCAAACCAAAGAACTTGAATGTTGAGACTCGTAGAAGAGCAGGAGAGCCAATTGAGAATCGAAGAGGTTCTCCAGTACAATCACCAAAGCTTAGCTCGAGGAGAAGCAGTTTGGAGCAAAATGTCACAAAGGGATCACCTAGAAACAAGAGAGAAATGGCAGAGAGTAAGCAGAAAGAGAAGATCACAACCTTTGTTACAGAGGACGAGTCATCTTCCATTTCTGAAAGCACCGTTAGCTCATCTTTTCAAACTGATGCAGAGGTATAGTAACAAATTAAGCAACTGAATTAATCTTAAGAGAAAATACAGTAATCAATATTGACTTGATTCTAATAGTTGTTTCTTGAAATGGCACTGTAGAGATCAAATTTGGAGGATTACAATGAAGGAAGGAGCCTTTTGGAAAGGTGTGATAAGCTCCTTAATAGCATAGCAGAGATGAATGCCCCTGAATCACAACCGAGTCCGGTGTCAGTTCTTGACTCGTCATTCTACAGGGACGATTCACCTTCCCCTTCACCTATCATGAAAAGGAACATCGATTTCAAAGGTAAACAGTTATGTTATCTTCAAATCTTGTTTTACATAACATAACCCTGCCCCCTCTGGTTCTCGTCTTCTAACCAGTCATCCGGTTATTCATTTTAAATCTTTCCTCAAATCCATTTTTACTTTAGTTTAAACATGTATTTCCGAAAAAGAGCAAAAATGCAGCATCAGGAGGAAATTACCAAGTTGATAAAAGTAACACGCATTACCATAATAATGAGGTTAATAATGGTTTAGGATGCCTGCTCTGCATATGGAAGTTATTTATTGAGTACTACTGGTGATTAATGGCAAGTTAAATATATTAGACAAGCTTGCCATATTTCTTCTTGGGTTATTGCTAATGTTACTTAAAAACTAAATCAGATGTTTCAGGGGAATCGGAGGAAGAAATATGGATCTCGGCACTTTCACCTGTCCAATCAAAGTATGACGATTCAACGGATGACTCTCATCTTAGTTACATTTCAGACATCCTTAGAGCTTCCCAATATCTGCCTGAGGAATCTGATATATTTTTATTATTGGAGAAGCAGCAATATCTCAAAGGAAAGGACACTTCCAAAGTCTCCATACTCGAAAGAAAGCTGATCTTTGACACTATCACTGAAATTCTTGATAGAAACAGGCAACTCCCCCCTTGGAAAGCATTCTCCTGGTCAGGTTCATCTATCGCAAAGCCATCAGTGGAGAATGTTTGGACTGAGTTCCAAAGAATACAAGAACGTGAAAATGGTAACAACTTGGTCGAGATCATTTGTAAAGTTCTCAAGAAAGACCTGGCTCAAGACACTGTCAGTGGTTGGGGAGACTGTCCGGTGGAGATGTCCGAGGCAGTCTTGGACATGGAAAGGCAGATATTCAAGGATTTAATAGTCGAAACGATCCAAGACCTTGCTGAGTTCAGCTGCAAAACGACCCTCTTAACATCCCTGTGTAGGAAGTTAGTTTTCTAAGCTGATAAACAAAAGTTGGCAGGATAACTACATTGAGAAGCCCCCTTATTGCTTGCTTTTTCCTTTCTTTTAAATTTGTTTTTCCACGTTTTAGGTTTTGGTTCCTATTGATTCTTGACTACCTAGGTAAGTACTAAGCTGTTGTAAGGGAATGGTCACTTTCCAAGATGTAAAAAAGGGGAAAGTGTTGTTAGAGACTGGACTGGAGTTTGGAGATCTTTCTTTCTTTCTTTCTGTGAAATGCATAAGTTTGAGTTAGTTGGCAGAAATCATTGTTTATCATGTGACTCAAGTAAATTAAATTTTTGACCCTTTGGGAAAAGTGGTGCCCATTAAGAAAATACTAAATTCTACACAAAAATACCTAGTATGGTTAAACTACCCTTAGTTAAATATTTAATGGAGGAGTAAAAAAACTTTTCAGAAATATGTACAGAAGGGTAATTTTGTAAAAACAAATTTAATTTTTTCTTGATTATATAAATGGATACTTACTTTGAACCAAAATAAAAAAAACAAATTAGTCGCTTATTGTGGACCGGGAGTAATGTTTAAGGGTTGATAACATGATTTTGTGTTAAGTTGTCATCATTTTCTTATTTCCTTTTTGATTGGCTGGCCAAAAACATTTACACCCTAGCAACTTTAGAAAAGCAAAAGGTTTGTTTTAGTGTATCTCTATACCTTGAAAAACAGTAATACTTCAATTCCTCTACTTTGGGGATGAAAAAGCATTTGTTGTTGCGGTTCTCACGAGGGAATCATTCCTCTCTAAATAAATAAAAATAAGCTAAAATCTTTTTATTGATAGAGTTTTCATATTTGCGCGTAGAATCATTTTTTGCTCTGTTCTTACAGTAATTGGGTCGGAATTCGTGTGAAGTTCTCCTCAGCAAGTTTCCTTTTGGTACAACTATCCAGTAGAAAATTTTCATTCTACCATCACTTTGTATTGCAAGCACAGGTTTATGTCCTCTTCCATGTTCTCTTCTTTTGTGATATATATAGGTTGCGGTTCAAACCTGACCGCACACCGCTAAGGTGGTTCTTTTAAAAGAAATATATATATATTCTTTGCATCCCCAAGGAGATAGATTGTTGCCATTGTGCCTTGATCGTCAAAAGGGGCACGAACAGCCTTAAAGTACTGTTCCATGTCCCAACGGTCTTCGAGCCTTGGCATTTCGAATTCCGTTGAATGGCTGTGGTTCCGGACTCAAGTCTGGAGTCGCCAGATGGGACTTTCGGTTCAACTACAATGTCAGTGTCCATTTTTTACCCCCAAAGGTCACATAACTAAAATAAAATAATAGTATTTGTAGTGGACTACAAAATCAAATCTATGAAGAGGGGTTGGAGCACTGGAAATAAATATGATGGGGTTAGAGCTATTTCCCTCATTTAATAAGGAAATAAAAGAGAAGGTGAAAGGAAAATCTAAACAATCAAAAGTTGGATACAGTTCCATTTAAATTTTTTCCATATTTTTTACTTTTTCTTCAACCATATCAAGTAGTTGGAACTTGGAAGTAAACATAATGCAAGTCTTAATTATGAGGTATTTACCACCTTTAAAGCAAGCCATATCAAGTAAAAGCATTTTATATGAAAAATAATAAATCAATCTGTAAAAGGTATTTAATTCTACTACTCCACATTACAGGTAGAAATAATAAGTGCATATTATTTCTCAGCTTTTACACACGTCTTATAAAATATATTTTAAAAGTTTAATCATTTGACTATGTCTAAACTACTATCTACCTCTCTTTAAACGTCTCACTTAATTAATCCTCCACTAATTAAAATATTTAAAATAAATTTCAAACTAATGGAAAAGTATTATCTTTCATGCAAACAACACCGAGAGGTTGTTTGTTAGGATGAATAAGCAAAAATAATCATGCGATAAAAATGTAGTATCGCTTCATCCCTTGTTTGGTTACAGTCCTGGAATAAGTTATCACAGGATTAAAAATAGTACCGAAATAACTTATACTAGCCAGAGGATAGAATAGTAATCCCAAGATAAGTAATTCCAAGTTAAAGCAAAAGCAGTAAAATTGACAATCTCGGGATTAATACAATATAGCAAATACTCAATAATAAATACTGCCAAGATAACTAATCTCAATATAATTAAGCTTAGTATAATTAATATCAGTATAACTAATCTCAGGATAACTTATTTTCAAACCATACGATCAAGAGTGGAAAAAAAAAAAAGAATCTTGTTACTAAATTTTGTCTACTGAAATTGAATGATCTTTGTAAAAGTTTATACAGGTGCTTGCGTAGAGGCTCTGAAACTTATGAGGTCAGATGGCATGGCAAGTAGTAATAATAGTACCATTTTTGAATAATTTAAAACTTCTGATCCTCCCAATCTTTTCCCATGATAGTTCTGTCAGATTCCAAATCTACAGTTTTGACCACAACAGTGCTTCTAACTTTGTGGAATCTACCATTTTAGTACATTTACGATTCTCCTTTTTCAATTTTAAGGAAATTTCACTTCACTTTTTCAGCCAAAGTAGAAACCCCATGTTCCTCCTTTATCCTTCCTCAATCCCTAGCACCTCTAAATCCAGAAGGTAAGCAAGGGCTGGGGGTTTGTGAGAAAATTTATTTAAACTTAGTATTTACGTCAAATCATGTTATTATATTGTGAAGGGGAGTTTTGACGCAATTAGTAGAGTTTGTTGCCATATGACTAGGAGGTCATGAGTTTGAGTCGTGGAAACAACCTCTTGCAGAAATGCAGCGTAAAGCTGCATACAATAGATCCTTATGATCCGGCCTTTTTTGGAATTCCGCACGTAGCGGAAGCTTAATGCACCTGGTAGCCCTACTCATATTGTTATGTCGTAGTTGAGTGAAAATTAAGGTAACATGCATAATTATTAATTATGGTTAAGTAATAAAAGTGCAGTTGTAGACGTATGCCATTTATTCATTAATTTGCTGTTTTTTTTTCTTTTCTAGAAATGTAATGTTTCATTTTTTCATTAGTTCCTTTTGTTTTAAATGACAAAAAATATTTTAATTTAGAAAACGGAACAAGTGAATCAGCTACTGATACTTGTATCAGGGTAGACTGCCTACATCACACCATCATAGGATGTGGTTCTTTCCCGGACCCCGTGCTAATGCAGGACGTTTTGCGCATTTGGATACCCTTTTTAATTTAAAAAAAGGAACAAGTGAAATTATACAATCTATTTCGACTTGCATGGAATTGAGACGTAATTATTGTCCAAACAGAACAACAACAACAACAACAACAACAACATACCCAATATTATCCCATGTTGTGGGGTCTGAGGAGGATAGTGTGTATGCAGACCTTACCCTACAAATGGAGACAATTGCAAGTTTTTCCACATAAGGGTGTGCAAGTTTTTACACAATAAAAAGAAATGGCACTACTAGACCCTATATAGAAGCTTTAGAAGTAAACTTTAACCAAAAAAGTGTAAGTGAAAAGGAAAGAAGAATTGAAACTTGAAAGAGTTAGCATGTGATGAATTACATCACAAAATGTTTAGGGTGTGAGGGAAATAGTTGGAATGAGGTAATTGGGAGTACTATTTTGGATTCAACTGCCATATAACTTATAGATTTTGAACCTCATATCACAGGTCTCATTTTCTGGACGACTGATGTGGCGATGAAATGAAGTTGTTTAGGAAATTTAAAAAAAAAAAAAAAAAATTATTCCAGTTCTATTTTTCTTGTTTTGTTTGTAATAATTGATCTACTTTACTTGTCCCCAACTCTCTTACACATTTGTTTGGCGTTTGGGTACACAAGAGAATTCAATAAGAATGCAAGAATATCACGCCAAGAATTCGAATATTTATGATCTAAAATAATTTTTTAATCTCCTTTACATTATATTAAAATTTTCTTATGTACAGGGGATTTAAAAACTTATATGTATATATAAAAAATATTTTTTTTACGAAAGAAATTCAAATTGAACCCATTTATTGAACTTAGCTCCTCCGTCCAATAATATAGTAATGTTTTTAATACCCCCAAAGCCAGTTAAATATTGCAACCTTGTCTTTTAATCCAGGCTTCTAAATTCTAACCTACACCAAAAAAAGGCTGTATTACTTTTCTTATGATCACGTGTTTGGATCCAAGAGAGAATTAAAGTGACAAAAAGAGTTAAAAGCTCTTTCTACTTTTCAGTAACAGTACTCAGGGGATCCTTTTTTCCTTTATGGGTGAAACTTTAATAAAGCTTAATAACTTGAACTATTTGTCAGGAAATTCATTATATTTAACAGAACAAGTTTCTTTATAAAATTCCATTGCTTAACATAACACTTACAACTTGATGGTTTATTTCGTAGAAAAAATTTTAAAGCAGCTTAGAAATTTCATAGTTAATCTACTTTTACAGAAATTAGAAAAATAAAAAGGATAAGGGAAAAATAATGAAAAGATGCATCATACATATACTGGAGAATTTTACTGGTAATTCACTTATTTTTCTAGCTAACAAGTTGATAATACCCATAAAGGATCTAAGTTACATACTCTGATAATGTATAAAGCTTTTAAACTATCAATATAATTTAATCGATTTTTAAGGCATCTGGTAGTCAAAAAAACACCGGCCTCCAACTAATTTGGATTCGCGTCGGATATGCTACTGCAAGATCGATTTTTTAGGCATCTGATACTCAAAAACTACCAGCCTCCAACTAATTTGGATTCGCGTCGGATAGGTTTATGCGAGAGACAGCATTCTCGATCAAGAGGTTCTTATTATCAACTCTTCAACTCAAAACTTCTACTTAAAGTGGGTGATCTCAACCATCCCACCACACTTCTCGATTGTTATAACAGTACAAGCTTGTATAATTCCTGCCACAAAAGGCGAGAAGAACTGAGCTTCTTTTTAGCGCCCATTACTGTCCTTTTCCATGTGACATAAGGTTCTTTCACTCCTGCTCACTGTTCTGGGCTCTCTGGCCCACCTAACTAATTAAATAGGCCCACATATCAATTGTAATGCTCCTTTTCTTGGTCCCACTGAAAAGATAGAACAGAAATACAATAAGGAAAGGGGTTTCAGAAATTATTAAATATTTCCAATGAAAGCATATACTCCTAATGTGATATTCAAGACTAATAAAACACAGCCCACTGGACTAAGCCCTCGCTATGCGCGGGGTCCGGAGAAAAGCCGGACCACAAGGGTCTATTGTACGCAGCCTTATCCTGCATTTCTGCAGGAGACTGAAATATTGCTCTGGTCGTTTCCATCTAAGTCATCTACCATACAATTTGAGTTTTCTGCGGTTAACTTTTCTTTCATGGAATATGAATTCCCTCCGTATGACTTATAGGCAGGAAAAGTTATTCGGGGATCTATTTTCCATATGGTAGATTGATCTTCTATGCGCAGACTAATTCAGAATTTCAAATCAGTAGGTGCTAAATTTCAATACACCCTCTATCTTTGTTGTCCGCCCGCTGTGTACTGTCGATCATACTGACACAAGTAAACTGACTCAAAAAGCACGCGCAAAGCCACCATAATTGTCAAGATGTCAATCTAGCAATCAAAAGATGTACCTTGAATACCCTACATATGTACAAAACCTCTAATATATGGGGAAAAAACACTAGAAAGAAACAGAACCAAAAACTAGAGGGTCCAATGCCATCCCAAAAGGGCACAAAATTTATCTATAGTCTGCACTAATTAATGGGGATGAAGAGGTACTCTGTCATGGCACATGCCAATTTTTAGTTTATATTCTGAACAATTTTCTTGTTCATCTTAAGTATTCCATGAACATTATAAGCAGAAATCATTGACAGAGTTCTATCAAATCTTGTCTTTGTATGGATATTAGCTATCCACATTCCACCCTGAAAATAGTCCTCTAGTTTGGGACCTCAACTTTTGACTAAAGCAAAGGGAAAATTCATTATAGGACCAGACACTTATTGGCCAGAGCTTGGGTATAACTATGAAGACTTTGTTTGCTACCCACCAGCATAAAAGAAATAAAGAGAAAATGACTGAAAAGGATAGTTTCCCCCACCATCTTCCCAGAGAGGAATTTAAGATAATAGCTGCTTCCACTGCTATATTTATTTTCTTTGCCAGCTGATACAAATTTCGTACAAACACATACTTTTAAGGATTATTCAATTATCTACGAAAAAGAGTTGAGCTTAAATGAAGCACTGAGAATTCATATAGCCGACCCCAGCTTGTTTGGGATAAAGCGTAGTTGTTATTATTGTATCAACCCAAAAAAAAGTTATTAAAAATATATAAATTCAAGCCGATGGTAAGGATTATAAGCTGACTACCGGAATACATCCGTCGCAGGCCCTCAACCACCTTACACACCGAATTTAAGCGAAAAGAAAGAGGAAAACACAAAACCCAATATGAAAAATGACTAATTTAAAGATTTCAAGGTCCTTAAACATGTGTGAGCCAGTGAGTTAATTTTGTTAAGGTTAATGGATAAAGTTAACAGAAATGAGGTGTTTCGTTATATTTTGTAAAACTAATCACCTACAGTATGCAATTAAGAAGCTTTAGATAAAGATAAAATGTCACTGTACAAGGAAAAAAGAGGATCCACAACTCAGAAGTTGAATAAGTAATAACAACAACTATGCCTCAGTTCCAAGCAAGTCGGGGTCGGCGAGAAGTTGAATAAGTGATGGAGAATTTTTATTTTTGCTACAATAAAGACATCCTTATGGAGTTATGGTATTTAAAATCACATTGAATTTCCAACAGTTTTCAATAAGATGTTAGCCTCAAAACTTCCTGTTTACCTTGTAGACCCAGCCTACTTGACTAATTTATTCAACTACCACAAGCCTGGAAAAATTACCTCCACATTGTGTACATATCATGTGAGATCTTAAAAGGGGTTAATCATAAAACTCAGATTTACCACCTCATTGCCTTCAGTTTACTTTGCAAAATAGCTGATATTTTCAATAAAAAGATATATGTCTGACAAGCATGCACCCATTTTTGTCACAAAACACAGTGTAGTGGTGCACCATATTCGCTGGTTTAAGTTCCTATATCACCCTCTGATTCCAAGCTTAGTTGAGCATTAAGATCAAACTTTTAAGACCAAATATTAAGGAAAATACCTGATATTAACTCAACACAGCATTAGGGCGCAGTAATATCTCATCATGCTTATAACTAGTTCCTAATTATATATGTAATTATACCTACGATCATTCTTTTTACTTAACATGTTCAAATCAGCCGTGTGTAGATTACACAAGATACTAAAAGAGTAAAGTTAGAAGATTATGTTTAGCAGAGAACCCTTTCCCTGCCCCTATAAAATACCAAAGAGAAACTCTAATCGATAGTGTCATGGTTGGATTTCTGACTTCATTCATGGTTGGAATTTTTAACCGAGATTGAGTTGGTTAGATAGTAGGATTTCTGACTTCATTCGTAAGAGGTATTAAGGATATGTAAAAATGATAACTTTTTGTATATTTGGATTTGTAACATATATTTCAATCAAATGTTTGTAGAATATGTATATTTGAATTTGTAACATAACCATTTTAGATTTAGATATACGTTATAAAAAATTAATATGGGATATATGTGCAACACACGTGCCCAGAAACTAGTTGTTTTGATAAGCGTCTATTTACAGAAAAGGCTGTAAAGATCCTAGAGCAAAAGATACTGCTAGATCAGTCATCCTACCATTTATCTATTCAATTATATATTATTTATTTATTTTTGGGTTTAATTGCTACTCCTTCCATTCCAATTTATGTGGTGGTGTTTGACTCGGCATGGAGTTTGAATAAGAAAAGAAGATTTTTAAAACTTGTGGTCTGAAAGAAACCATAAATATTCGTGTGCCGGTAAATTATTTCATTAAGGGTAAAGTAGGAAGTTTAAAGTTAAATTGTTTCTAAATAAGGAAGTATGATATTCTTTTCGGGACAAACTAAAAGGAAAAGTATGACACATAAATTGGAACAAACGGAGTAATTGTTCCTACTACAATTATTTTGCTCCAACTTATTATAAATAATAAACCTGGAAGGAGAGAGAAGGGTAATGATGTCCCTAGTTGATTCTTCCTGGAACAAACCCTGATTCATTTCTGCTTAAGCATTGTTTCAAAATGGGACATTATTTTGACAGATGTGCTTTGAATTATTTAGATGAAAAGAGAAGGGCGAGCTGTTTGTTATCACCTTTGTTTGACAAGTAAAAGATGGGACGGTAAGATAGAGGAGTTTCCTTTTTTGGTTTTAACCACCCGGTATCTAAAGCTCATTGGGGCTAGATTTGGATTTGCATCAAGTAACTAAAGAAAGTTTAGATCTTTCTACCAAAAGGTTCTCCATTCCCGGGACTTAAAACACAAAACTTCTGGTTAAAGGTAGAAGATTTCCAACCATCCCTCCATACACCCCCCCCCCGGGTCGTAATAGATGGGTTAACCCCTTCATATCATTTTTAGCTATTTGAAGATTAAATGGAAATGAGGAAGTATATCTTTTAAACTTCCATTCAAAATCACAGTAAATAGCCATCAACTGTCTATAAGTGACCTACCTTCTAGTTATAGTAACTAAACCTACACATGACATTCCCTAAAGCATTTAGAACAGGTTTAATTGCTTAGATTAGTTAACTTACCTTGAAGTGTGTACAACCACAGAATGAACCGTAGACAGCTCCCACGTTTTAAATAGTAGTACAAGAGTAATCAACAGATATACACTTCAAATAATAATAGTATTCAGCTGTCTAGGAGCTATACACAATCGTACCAAAATTGGATGATAACCTACAGATTGTACCTCTCGTACCAGAAGTTGAAGGAAACACTGATACTTGTACTTCTATACCCGCTGCTTTAGAGGTCTGTGAGGCTTTGGAGCTGGAATCATTAAAACAAGAAAATTACTCCAACTTTTGTAGAGGCAAAAGAAGTATGATGTTGGAGAAGAAAGGATATTAATATTGTAGCAATTCATAATTGAAGAAGCTATGAAGATGGGTAAGCCTTCAAGAATTCTAGATGATTTAATTGTCAAAATGAATTTCTTTTTTAAAAGATAGATCAATTGTGAGGATGCAAAAAGAGATTAGTAATGATAGTTCTAACACATCCAGAATATAATAAACTCATATCACCTGCATTCGATTTTACCTGGCTTACCCCCTCCCCCCCCCCCCCCC